ACTCAATTCAATCCACGACACTGTGTGTATTGTTTTTCAACTTTTTAAATTTTAAATAATTTAGCAAATATTTTTTGAATTATTTCCTTGTTAGGACATTTGAATCTACCACATTATTTTATTTTTTAAATATTTTGCTTCCGTTAAAAATGATCACATGACTTTCTTTTGTTGATATTGTGAATTACATTGAAAGATTTCTTACTTTTTGATCATCTTAGCTTTCACTTGATAAGCCCTACCTGGATTTTATGTGTTAGTTCCTCTAATACATGAATGAATTCACATTGCTAATATTTCATTAAATTTTGTCCATCTATGTTTTTTAAATGACATTGGCCTATACATTTTTGTTTGCTTGTTGATTTGGACTGTACTAGGATTTGGTAATGTGATTACTCTAGCTTCATAAAATAAACAGGAAACTTTCAACCTTTGTGTATGGTCTGAAAAATACTATAAAATATGAGAATATACTATTATTAAAGATAAGGTAGAACTCTTTCACTAAACCATATGGACAAGGTATCATTTTTTTAGGGAAAGTTCTTTGACTGCATCTAAAAATTCTTCAGTGGCTACTGGTCATTTCAGTTTTTTCATCTCTTCTTAACCAATTTTGATAACTTAAGTTTTTACTAGGCAAGGATCCATTTAACTTAGCGTTCCACATTCACTGGCAAATGTTTGTGTAAATAGTACTTTAACTTTTCTACTCATATTAAAAATAACCTTACATGGCTCGTCTTGTTTCTAATCTTGTTTGTCTCCCTCTCTTTTTGTCAAAATAGCACTTGGTATGATATTTCTATTTCCTTCATCTTTTCAAAGAGTCTCCTTTAAATTTATTGATCTGCCAAACAAATATCAAAACCTGTTCTCATATGATAGTCATTATCAGTGTGGAATTACAACAGAAATTGATACATATACCATTGGAATATAATAGGAAGTCCCCAAACACGTACTTAAATGCTCGTATTTGTGCACTTACGTTTAGTTTGTGATAAAAAAGGTATTTTAAATCAGTGGTGGAAACAAGGTCTATTCAATTAATAGTGGTGTCTGTTTTACCTAGTAAGCTTGCCGCCAGCTAGGCCTTTGTCTTCTTTTGAGCACTCCGTCATCAGAACCTGAGCACCCAGAGCAATAATAGGCACTCAACAAATATTTTGAATTGATGGATGTAGGTATTTGCTTTTCTCTGTCATTAATGACTGGTTTTATTAATTTTTTTATGTGCTTTTTTTTTCATGGGTTTATTTTGTTCTTTTCTAGTTTCTTGAGTTGTACATGTCATTCATGATGTATAATATTACTTTTCCTTTTGGATTCGTAGTTGGGTGTTGCTGCCCAAGTCCAGTGGATATTTCAGTCACCCTTCCTCCTACACTTTCCATTTCTTTGTCTTTTCATGTAATGTTCTGGGATAATCCTACTCTTGGTTTTTAAAAACATTTTTGTCTCGCGACTTCTCTTTCAGTGTTTCTACTTTTTTGGTCAGTCTAGATATCAAGGAGCTTTAAATCCCATTGTTCAAAATCTTAACTTTCAAAATTTCTTGTTGCTTTTTTTAACGGAAGCAATGCTTTGCATCTCTCTCTGAAAATAATACTGACATTTGTCTTGAAGCCTTGTTATGTTTTCTCTGTTAACTGTTTCCACCAGTTTATCTCCCGTTTGTTAAGTTTGGTGCCTTTCTGTCATAGTGTGGGTTTCTCGCAAGTGTTTGTTGGTTCTTGACTGCCATCTTGGATTTAAGTACGATGGCTGCTTGTTCTGCTTACCTTGGCTACAGTGGGTGTTTAAGAGGGAAAGAAAGGACTGTGGGAGGGAATACGGGCACTTGTCTTTGGGGAGGGGGGTCCCCTGACCCCCTGATTGTCATTAGCTGGGGTGTTGCTCTTTCTATTGACTCTTAGCATCTCTTGGGATGCCCACCAATTAGCAAGAGCTTAGCAATAACTGCAAGGAGCTTGGGGCTGGCCAGATGAATGCTCATAGCCGAACTTCCCAATTAATCACCCCAAACTATGCTCTTGGCTCTTTTCTGCTTCTCCTACACACCAGATCTGGGCTTGGAGCTATTCTTGTTCTCCTCTTGTGTTTTAGGCTGCGGATATATTTTCCCCTAGATAAAGTCTATTTTCTAAGATTCAGGAATTTCTTAACATATCTGATCTGCCATCTTGCATTCTTTTTAAATAGATTTGTAATCTTTTTCTTAGTGACAGAAATGTCACTTCATGTAAATTTAGTTGGGAGTGCAAGTGGATACTTGTGCTCACACCAACATATTGATTCAATCTGCCACCTACTTCATTTACCTCAACTAGAAAATTTTTATACAAGTCAATTTGTGATTATTGTAGGATCTTTAGAATATACATCTTACCAAATAACAATAAAACCATCCATAAATTAAACCACTCTGAGAAGCCACGTGTCATTTATTTTTACCTTATAAACCAAAACCAAACTCTTTGCCGTTGAGTCAATTTCGACTCATTGTGACCCTATAGTGCAGAGTAGAACTGCCCCATAGGGCTTCTAAGGAGCGGCTGGTAGACTCGAACTGCCCACCTTTTGGTTAGCAGCCGCGCTCTTAACCACTGCGCCACTAGGGCTCCTTACGGATATTGTGAATTTTTTGTCACCCTCTCTCCTAGTTTTATCTTAATTTTCTCCATTTACCTTTGCCTTACTTTTTCTTACTTTTTCAAACTTAAAAAAATTCTTTTTATTTTTTAATTAATAGACTTTATTTTTTAGAAAAGTTTCAGATTTGTAGAAAAATTGCACAAAGTATAGAGTTCCCATACATCTCTTCTTCCTCTCGCCCAATTTCTCCTATTAACATCTTGCATTGATGTGGTACGTTTTTTGAATAGGTGAACCAATATTGATATATTATTAACTAAAGTCCCTAGTGCACTCTTTCTGTTGTACAGTTTTATGTGTTTTGACAAATGTATAATGTTGCCTCCACTATTACGGTAACATACAGAATAGTTTCATTGCCCTTAAAATGCTCTATTCATCTCTCCCTGAACCCTGGCAACCACTAATCTTTTCACTATCTCTATAAAAAAACCAAAAAAAAACAAACCAAACCCATTACCATTGAGTTGATTCTGACTCATAGCAATCCTATAGGACAGAGTAGAACTGCCCCGTAAGGTTTCCAAGGCTGCAATCTTTATGGAAGCAGATTGCCACATCTTTGTCCTACAAAATGGCTGGTGGGTTCGAATCACCTACCTTTGGATTAACAGCTGAGCACTTCACTGCTGTGCCACCAGGGCTCCTCACTGTCTCTATAGGTCTGTCTTTTCCAAAATGTCATATAGGGGGAATCATACAGTATGTAGCTTTGTCAGACTAGCTTTTTTTACTCAGCAGTATGCATTTAAGTTTCCTTCATGTCTCTTTGTGGCCTGTTAGCTCATTTCTTTTTATTGATGAATAATACTTCACTGTATGGATGTATCAGTTTATTTATCCATTTACCTTTTCAAGAACATTTTGATTTCTTCCACTTTTTGACAATTATTAATAAAGCTGTTATAAACTTTTATGTGCAGGTTTTTATGTGGGCATATGTTTTCAACGCATTTGCGTAAATACCTAGGAGTGTGATTGCCAGATTGTATGGTGTTTTAGCTTTCTAAGAAACTGCCAGATCATCTTCCAAAGTGACTGTACCATTTCGTATTCCCACCAGCAAAGAATGAGAGTTCCCGTTGCTTCACATCCTTGTCAGCATTTGGTATTGTCGATGTTCTGAATTTTAGCCTTTCTAATAGGTGTATAGTGATATCTTCTTGTTTTTCATTTGAAATTCCCTAATGGCATATAGAGTCGCTATGGGTTGGAATGGATTTGATGGCAGTAGGTTTGGATTTTGGTTTTGGAGTGACATATGAATAAAGGGCCCTGGTGGTGCACTGGTTAAACACTGGGCTGCTAACAAAAGGTCGGCAGTTCAAGCCCACTAGTGCTTCCATGGGAGAAAAGACTTGGCAATCTGCTCCTGTAAAGATGACAGCCTTGGAAACTCTATGGGACAGTTCTACTCTGTCCTATAGGGTTGCTATGAGTTGTAATCGACTCACCGTCATACAACAACAACAACAATGACATGATGTTGAGCATCTTTTCATGGGTTCATTTGCATCTATATATCGTCTTTGATGAGGTATCTATTTAGATCTTTTGACCACTTTGTAATTGGGTTGTTTGTTTTCTTATTGTTGTATTTTAAGAGGGTTGTATATATATATTTTGATACAAGTCCTTCATCAAAAATATGTTTTGCAAATATTCTACCAGTCTGTGGCTCATCTTTTCAGTCTCTTGAACTTTTTGTTTAAAAAAACAACAACAGCAAATTTTTCGTGCTGAATTTGTTAGTCAGTTCTGTGGCTCTTCCGCATGATGAAGTGCAACCTCCTCAGCCAGGAATGAGGTCACCCATGGTCTGGGCACCCCGTCCTTCTGGCCTCACCCATCTTTCTCAGTGCTCTCGGCACAGTGAGCTTGTGGGTTTTCTGAGCATGTCATGCATGTTCTTTGCATTGCTGCATCTTTGCCTGGAATACCCCCTCCCTGCCACTCTCCTGTCTAACCTCCTCAGTGCTTTAGGACTGGACTCACCTTTCACCTGCCTGGGGAGGCTGGGCGCAATGCCTGGTGTGCAACCCCTTAGCCCCCAGCACACTGCTTCACCACTCACCTCCCCATCCTGTTCACTGTCTAGATTTACCGCTAGACTCTAAGGTTGTGCCTTCCTTGTCTGCATAATCAGTCCTTTGCCTGGGGGATAATAAATACATATTGGAAGGCTGGATAAATGCATGAATAAATGAAGAATTAATACATGAATGATGCTATTATGACCTATCTTAAATTCTTCTCGAAATAAAATCGGTTCTAAATAAACAGGCAAATACTTCTCTTCCTTCATTTTATACAACGCTGACTCGGCGCCATTTTTATAGGAAGTCTGCAGCTGGCAGCGTGGGTGCTGCTGGAATCCTGTGGAGGATACCAATGTCCCCAAGTGCTTCTTTCCCAAGAACTGGGGCTATGAAGTCAGCAATGACCGCTGGAACAAAAGCCTAGGTGAGCTCTGCCCTGCTCTTGCCCCAGGGAACAGCTCCTTATGACCTAGAAGCTAAAAATACCTCTTTCTCCTTAGTGTTTTCTGCCCAGTTGAAAAGGCTGCCATCGCCCACTCTGTTTGGAAATGATGTCAGCGACGCCCTCTTCACAGCTGAATATCAGACATCCAATCGTTTACATTTTAAGGTTGGCTCGGCAGCACTGCAAATATCTGGGAAGAGAGCAGAGGCTCCCCAGTGGGTTCAGAACACTCTCCTTCAGGCACTGGGTGGAGATGGGGAGGGGGAGGGGACTGTTCCTTGCCTTCAGAATCTGCTCTCCATCCTTGGCTGACTTTTATTTGATGGGAGACACATGATCGGGTGATTTCTGTGAAACCACAGGGCCAAGAATTAGAAGCTATTCCTATTGGTGGCTATTTGAGAGTGAACATCTTTTGTAGTTCTACAAGAAAGTGGTTTTATGTGGAATTGTCCCTCTGTTTTTCTTCTGACAGATCACTGATTTCAATAACAGACGATATGAAGTCCACCATGAAAGCATTAGTTCGCTGACTCAGAATGATAGTATCTCCAATACCAGCTATCAAGTGGAGGTCATTAAAAACCCCTTCAGCATCAAAATAATGAGGACGAGCAACCGAAAAGTCTTGTGAGCTTTTCTTTATGCATCTTTGAATATATCAAAAAAAATAACCAAACAAAACAAAAACGTTGCCATCGATTCCAACTCATAGGGACCCTATAGGACACAGCAGAACTGCCCCATAGGGTTTCCAAGACTGTAAATCTTTGTGGAAGCAGACTGACACCCTTTTCTCCCAAGGAGCAGCTGGTGGGTTTGAACTGCCGACCTTTCCTTTAGCAGCCTAGTGCTTAACCACTGTGCCACCAGAGCCCCTTATCTTTGAGTAAACACGGTCCCAATCTCCTTAATTCTAAATTACTATGCGTGGGCAATGAGATAAGTATGACTTGGGAAAATATTTGAACCTCAGAAAAATGGCAAAGATTTTACTGTAAATCATCAACACTGTTAATCCTTTATGATGGTAGAGCAAAGAATCCTAACGTGTAATGTGCTAGTTTGCTAAGTGGTACAGTGTACTTGTGGTTCATATCTATTATCAAATGGGAATTTTATTATTTTGAATTAATATTCACCCTGAAACTCACCTGCAGTGTTTATCACTTTAAATTATCATTTCCTGGGAAATTTCCCATCAAATCCCTAACAACAGTTTGAGCTTAAATCATAAAGTATACTGGAGAAAATACAAGTATTAACGTCGGTAAAACCTGTATTCAAATCCTGCCTCTAGCAGCTCTCCAGTAAACTGTGTGATGAGATGAGGCAAGGTACCTGGCCTCCCTCGGTTACCTTGCCCATAGAAAGGGATCGAAATACACACTTCAGAGGCTGTTGTTAGGTATTGCTGTTGCTGTTGTTGTTGGTTCCGTTGGGGGGATTCTGACTCATGAGGCCCCTCTGTGTGCAGAGTAGAACTGCTCCATAGCGTTTTCAAGGCTATGAACTTTGGGAGGCAGATCACCAGGCCTGTCTTTCGAGGCACCACTTAATGAGTTAATATCTGTAAGGCATTCAGAACAGTGTCTGCCAAGCAGTAGATGTACAGGAAATGTAAGGTCATGTTTACGCTCTTCCCCCAAATCATCCAACTCGAGTTCCTGGTACCCAGCCCCAGTATTATGCTCCTCCAGAATTCTAGAATTAGAGATGTCGTCAGAGGTGTCAAAGGTAGCATGAGAGTTGATAGAAGCACCTGGAGCGTGTGACCTCTAAGTGTAGATGGAAAGGGGTGGGCAGGTCACCTGCAGAGAGAGTTGTTGGGTGACTCCCTCTTCCCCACGGCCCAGGTTGGACACGGGCATTGGGCCCCTCCAGTTTGCCCAGCAGTACCTGCAGCTGTCTTTCCGCCTGCCCAGCACCAACCTGTACGGGCTGGGGGAACACGTGCACCAGCAGTACCGCCATGACATGAACTGGAAGACCTGGCCCATCTTCACTCGGGACACCTCTCCCACCGAGGTGAGCTTCCCTTCCTCCTGCTTATCGCACACAATCAGGAGTACCTCCCCTCCTTTCTGGAAAGTCACCTACAGAGAAAGATCTATATAATATTTTGTCCAAATTTAAATCTGTTTGTATTGGGGAATGCTTGCTCTTCAGGCGTATAAACACACAACTAGAAATACAGCAATTTAAAAAATACATATGACATTTAAAGGGAAATATAATCTAATGATTTATTTATGCAGCCTAATATGTATTAGGAGCCCTGGTGGAGCTGTGGGTAAGAGCTTGGCTGCTAACCAAAAGGCTGGCAGTTTGAATCCACCAGCCACTCCTTGGAAACCTTATGGGGCAGGTCTACTCTGTCCTATAGGGTCACTATGAGTCAGAATTGACTCAGTGGCAGTGGGTTTGGCTAGTTTTTTGAAAAATATGTATTAAAAAAATCTTTCCAAAAAAGAACTATGTTTGGCTTTAATAAATGAGTAAATATCTAGACGAGAGCTTCACACAAGCCGTTCTCAGTAGAACTTTTTATAATACTTTATTGTGTTTTTGGTGAAAGTTTACACAGCAAACTAGGTTCCCATTTAACATTTTTATACATACTGTTTAATGGAACCCTGGTGGCATAGTGGTTAAAAGCTTGGTTGCTAACCAAAAGGCTGACAGTTCAAAGCTACCAGGCGGTCCTTGGAAACCCTATGGACAGTTCTACTCTGTCTTATAGGGTCGCTATGAGTCGGAATGGACCGGACGTCACCTAAGAACAGTAACAACATACACACACACTGTTCAATGACTTGGGTTACATTTTCCCGTTGTGGCAACAGTCTCGTTTTTTCCATTCTGGTTTTTCCCGTTCCATTAATCTAGCTTTCCTGTCCGCCCTCACCTTCTCATCTTTGCTTTAGGGTAAATGTTGACCACTTGGTCTCATACAGAGGATTTTGTAAAGGAGCACAGTATTCATGGGTGATATTGTTTATTTTATCAGTAGAACTTTGTGGAGTAAACCACGCCTCTTTTGGAAACTTTAATACTGTTCCAGGCCCTTGCTAGATAAGTATGCTCCCGCGGCAGCAATACTGCCATCACCTAGGAGCCTGTTAGAAATGCAGAATCTCAGGCCCTCGCCCACACCTGCTGATTCAGAACCTGCATCTTAACAGTATCCCCAGGTGAATCACGTGCACATTCAAGCGTGAAAGCACGGTTCTGGAGCAGTGCTTCTCAACCTACCGGTAGCGAGGGCTTAGTTTCCTTCTTTGTTTTAAATCTAATATAGGCAATACTTTTGTAAAACACAATCAAATGTAAGAAGAATGAAAAAAAACCCAAAGACGACATCCAAAATACAAAATCAAATTTTAAATTGAACAGACGTAAATTTATTCTTTTAGACAGTATAAAAATACTCTTGATGTTTGCATTTCTCCTGTTATGAAGGAGGGGTCCTGGTGGCACAGTGGTTCAAGTGCTCGGATGTTAACCGAAAAGTCGGCGGTTCAAACCCACCAGCCACTCTTCGAGAGAAAGATGTGGCAGTCGGCTTCCATAAAGACTTACAACCTTGGAAACCGTATAGGGCAGTTCTATAGGATTTCTGTGAGTTGGAATCGACTCAATAGCAGTGGACTTTTTGGTTGCTAATGGATAACACAATTTGGGGAGGTGCCAGTGCATGGACAATATTTTGAGTAGCAGTACTTTGTAGAGGATGTCTTGAAGCCTCCATTGTGCTGATGCGATGTCTCGGATCTGTGCAAGAGCTTCAGGGTGATCCATGTTGTTGGGAGGGATGGGACTGAAGCTTTGCAATCCATATTCCACAGGACATGAACACAGCAGGTAGCACATTAATTGCTCTCCCCTCCCCCTCCCCCAACAGCCTCTGATGCAATGGAGAAAGCACACTTACTCAACCGAACAAAGGAAAAAGCAATGACCAAAACATTCACAAAAATGCTTGGTCAAGCATCCTGATAATTCTGGAATACTAAGCATCATATTAAGTTTGAGTTTCCACAGCTGAAGTTCTTGAGTTGTGTACGAACAGATTAAAAGCTCTATTTATCTATTATTCCACCTGCATTCTTTCCAAGCATTGATATCATGAGTCCTTATGGTTACCATTTTAAATCTAGCCTAATTTTGCCTAGACCTGTTGTTCCTCTCTGTTTTGCATGGCGTGCTGATTTTCTATCTCCTCCTTCTCCTTCCAGACTTTACCATTGTCAGCACTATAGCCCTGTACCTGTAGCTGTCGGGTTGATTCCAACTCATGGTGATGCTATAGGACAGAGTAGAATTGCCCCATAAGGTTTCCGAGGAGCAGCTGGTGGATTTGAACTGCGACCGTTGGGTTAGCAGCAGTAGCTCTTAACCACTGTACCACCAGGGCTCCATAGCCCTGTACCAGGTGCTAAGTTTGTGACACGGTGACACAGGATGCTTCTGTAAAGCTTTCAGTATATTTTGGTCAATAGCTGCTCTTCGTACAGCACTTACAGCTGTACATGTTTTCTTTGTTTATGTCAGTGCTCATCACAGCCCTGTAACAGGTTCGGTACCTCTCTCTACTTCTTAGTTTTAAACTTTTTTAGTAACTAATTAACACATATTCCTTACGGAAAAATTAGAATACACATGTAGGTATAAGGAAGTAATTTAAAGTAGCTCATAATTCCATCACTGTGCAGAATCAACTCAACGGCAACGCGTTTTTGGGTTTGGTATAATCCCATCACCTTCTGCTGACCTTTTGGTACATGTCATTGCAGATATTTTCCAATGTAACCAAAAAAAAAAAAAAAAAAACCTAGATAAGGAATAAATTTATATACCATAAAATTCACCCTTTTTAAATGTAATAATTTTTAGTAAATTTACCAAGTTATGCAACCATCATCATAATCTAGTTTTAGAACATTTTCTTTACCCCGATATGACCCCTTATGCAATTTTACATTAAATCCCATTCTCCCCACCCTATCCTCACTCGACCCCCAGGCAACCATGAATCTATCTATATCTCTTTAGATTTGACTTTTATGGATATTTTATATAAATGGAATTATTATACAACATGTGGTCTTTTTGTATGGCTCCTTTCATTGACCTTAACGTTTCTGAGATTTATCCATGTTGTAATGTGTATCAGGACTTCATTTCTCTTTATTGCTGAATAATATTCCATCGTGTGGCTATACCATATCTTGTTTTTCCATTCACCAGTTGGTGGGTGTTTCAACACCCTTTCGGTACAGTACTGAGACACATCACAAGGCTAGAGAGGGACAGCAGAATAGCAATATCACTTTCAAAGTGAGCAGCATAGTACAGAGAGCTAGTGTATCAATCAGTGGTCAGGAATCCCAGTTAGACATTAACCACGGCTAAGACATCCTGCCCTGGGGAAACTGGTGTGCTGATCAGGTACATATTGTGCACAGCTTTTTATTTTATTTTAGGGTGAACGTAAGCATTTTTAACGCACAATACTCATTTCTGTCCTTTTTTCTTTTTTGCTGACAGGGCGTTAATCTCTATGGGGCTCATACATTCTTCTTGTGCCTTGAAGATGCCAGTGGCACCTCGTTCGGGGTTTTCCTAATGAACAGTAACGCCATGGGTAAGAAGCATCTTTTTATCTTGGCAGCATTTGAGATGCTACTTTTGCAAAATGGTTCATGGTGAGATCCCCGTCTAACAGAGGTGTACTGGACCTACAACACTTCTATAGAAACTGGAACTTCTAAGGAGGTTAACCTGTCTGCGAACCTAGTTCCTACATTTCGATGCTCTTTTGATTGAAACCTGCTCCAGGATTCTGCTTTGACCGATGTTTTCCATAATATTCTGTAGATAATAGGACCCACCATTGATGGGCACATTCCAACGATACCGGTAGGTTTCAGCGCTTAAACTGTGCTCTGTCTGTAGGCAACAAGGCTGCACTTCGTAGGTCGTGGTCACGGCCCCTCTTCCCCCCTCCCCAGTACCTTTCTCCTCCAGCTTCTGGATTAACGGTGCTCGAAGGAGTCTGGGTGGTGCAAGCCGTTTGCCATTGGCTGCTAACCTAAAGGCTGGCAGTTTAAATCTACCTAGTGGTGCCACTAAAGAAAGGCCTGGCAATCTACTTCTGTAAAGATTACAGCCGAGAAAACTCTATGGAACATTTCTGCTCTGTAACACATGGGGTTACCATGAGTTCAAATTGATCGATAGCAAGGTTTTTATCGGGGGGAGGGGGTATTTAATAAGACTTTTAAAACACTTTATTTAGATTAACCCATTAGCAAGCCCCAGAAGTTTGTATTTTTACATGCCTGGATTAAAATAGAACTTGCTCTTTTTTCTCTTAAAAACAAAACAAAACCACCCTCCATCCTTCATTAGTGTTCAATATTTTGGTAAACCTCCCCACCGTCTGCCGTTGAGTCTGCTCTGACTCATAGCGACCCTATAGGACAGAGTAGAACTGCCCCATAGGGTTTCCAAGGCTGTAATCTTTAAGGAAGCAGACCGCCACATCTTTCTCCCTCAGTGTGGCCAGTGGGTTCAAACCGCTGACCTTTCGGTTAGCAGCCGAGCACTTTAACCACTGCACCACCAGGGCTCCTTTGCTAAACCTCAGTGACTACCTAATAACAGAAACGTGTAATTTCCATCCCTTTTGAAATGAGGCTTAAAACGTGTGTTTTACACAGCTTGGCTCTTCACCTTCTAGAGAAGAATACATTTTCAACCTTGAGATTCTAGTAACTCTTGTTAAAATCTTTACAGAGGTCACCCTTCAGCCTGCTCCGGCAATCACCTACCGCACAATTGGGGGCGTTCTTGACTTTTACGTGTTCCTGGGAAGCACTCCAGAACAGGTTGTTCAGGAATACCTGGAGGTATGGATTTGTGTAGACGGTCATTTTGCATTGCTTTTATCTCATACCCTTGTTATAAATTAACAAGAGAAAAAAAAAGGTTAGGAACAGCAAACTGTCCGAACTATCAGTGATGGGATTGTGAGTCTCTCATTCATTATATGTTGATTTTGATGGACAGACATTTATGGGGCTACTTCTGAATGCAAGAGAGGCACTGTAGAAGGTTCTGGAAATCCAAAAGCAAGCCCAGTCCCATTTCTAGGGGCTCATGGTGCATCCACGTGTGACCAGCCATTCCAGAGACCTAAGGCCACAAATCAGCAACAGTCGTTCATTCATCCAGAAAGCAAAAATTCAATGTGAGAACTGTGTGAAAGGGACAGTGCTTGTTACTGAAGATTGCTTTTCTGTTTTTTTTTATTCAAATAATCACAACAGGAAGAAACTTTAGACGCCACATAGTCTAAAGTTTCTACTTTAAGATAAGAAAACCCGGGTACAGACAGGTGACATGATTTGTTCAAGGTGACACATAAAGGCACAGGAAACATGGCTCCAGACGCCAGAGCATTTACAACCAAACGGGAAAGGAGAAACCAGCTGCCCTTGATCAACTCCAACTCATGGTGACGCCACGCGTGTCTGAGTAGAACTGCGCTCAACAGGGTTTTCAATGACTGATTTTTTGGAAGCAGATCACCAGACCTTTCCTCTGAGTCACCTCTGGGCGGACTTTAACCTCCAACCTTTTGGTTAGCAGTGAGCATGTTAACCGTTTTCGCCACCCAGGGACTCCAGAGGAAAGAAGACACAGTCTGAAATGAGTATAATAGGAAGCACCTCTTAATAAATGCATTAATGAGTAGCAAACAACTGGTAGGGGATTCTGAGGCGTGAGAGAAAGTACTGAAAGTATCTGCTGAGGAAACTCATCTTGCAGGACAGGGACTCTTCAGGAACCACGACAGGCTGGGCACCATCTGAGATCTTCTCGGAACTGTGGCTTGAGGAACTTGGAACACTTGGATTTTAAACATATTCCACCATTTCTTTACCCATCCCACCCCAAATCCCATCGGCCCCTGTAATTTCATCCTTAGCACATACCAGTATCTGAAATTTATTAGGCATTTATTCACTTCCTTATATTTTTTTGTGTATTCCCCACTAGAATTCAAGCTCCATTGGGCAGAAACTATGTTTGCTTTGCCTACCACTACATCCCAAGTACCTAGGTCAGCCCTTTCCACATCAGGAAATCTTTAGTGAATGAATGAATGTCATTGCTTTCCCCCCAAGATTATACTACAATCCAAGCATTTTCTGCAAACTTGCATCATTTTCTGACATTGCAGTTGTTGGGAATGCATTTAGGTCATTAGCAGAGAGAGACATGGAGTTGTGGAATTTCACAAATCAGCCTAGGAGATTGCCCTTGACTCTGACATTATCCACCTGGGGACTTTACAGAAAATAAAGTGGAACCAATGCTTGCAGTGTTGGACATGGTGCTTATTCTGTTCATGAAACCGTGCTGATTCTAAATGCCAGCTCCTTCTTTACCGGTCGTTTTCAGCTTGTTGGCAAACCGTTCTTGCCTTCCTACTGGAGTTTGGGGTTCCAGCTTAGTCGCAGGAATTATGGTGGCATCGAAGGATTGAAAAAAGTTGTGAGCCGAAACCGTGCAGCTGGGATTCCGTATGTAAGTGGAGGCTTCTCCTATTCTGCCTTAGGCACCATTTTTGGTCTTTTTAATTTTGCATCAATTTTAATTTGTTAGGAAAAATACATTTATCTATAGAGCAATTGATTGATAGGTGAGCATACACACTGTCAGAAATGTGCCTGCTAAATTACCGATCACATCGTGGAGAGAGCAGTTTATGGAGTCACATGGATATGGCTTTGAATTTTAGTTTTGCCTCTTCTTTGCCGTATGCAACATTGGGTTACTTCATTAGCATCTCTGAGTCCTCATTTCCTCCTTTGGAAAATGAGATTATAAGACTTCCTGTGGTGGGCTGGTAATGTGAAATGTTTTATGCCACTCACGTAAAGCACCTGGTACAGAGGGGACCTCCGTCAATGTGAGCTATGATTTTACGAGAGGAAGCCACAGCTGAGCTGACATGGTAAACAAGGGCTGATGATTGTAATGGTAATGTACAGTGAATGAGGACCCCCTCCACTGTGGCCTCCTATAGCCCTTCCAGATCTAGCTGGCTCTAATACTGAAAGCTCTGTGGTTGCTTGTTCCTGAATGGTTGCCCAGTGTTGAACAGATGCTGTTGGCTTGGGTAACGGGTCACATGTTCCTTCTGACTCACAACGACTCTGTAGGGTAGAGTAGAACGGCCCCATAGGGTTTCCAAGGCTGTCATCTTTACAGAAGCAGACCGTCACATCTTTCTCCTGCAGAGTGGCTGGTGAGTTTGAACCACCGACCTTTCAGTTAGCAGCCAAGCGCTTAACCACTGTGCCACCAGGACTCTTCTGCCTATAAGCTAGAGCCTTTAAATGATGAGCTATTTCCTGAGGAGACACGAGGCCATAGAAAACTTCCATGTGACTTCGAGTTGTTATGTGGTAGAGCGGAGGAAATGAACCTCCTTGTGTAGGTGACCTTGGGCAATGTCACTTAACCTCTTCATATTGTAATCTTCTCACTAAGAATAGTACCTGCTCCTCGGGGGTTGGGGTGCAAGTGAGAGAGCATATGTGTGAGAGTTCGGTTAATTAAAACTCTAGCCTTTTGTTCTGTGTATTTGTATTATTGCCTTAACAGTTGTATAGGACATACACCCGAAAAAAAGCCAAACCCACTGCCTTTGAGTTGATTCTGACTCATAGCGACATTACAGGACGGAGTAGAACTGCCACATACAGTTTCCAAGGAGCGCCTGGTGGATTCAAACTGCTGACCTTTGGGTTAGCAGCCGTAGCTCTTAACCACTGCGCCACCAGGGTTTTCAAACACACATACACGCAGAAGCAATTTCCGTCGAGTCAATTCTGACTCGTGACGACCCCATGAGTGTCAGAGTAGAATGTGCTCCATAGGGTTTTCAGTGGCCAATTTTTCAGAAGTAGATCACCAGGCCTTTTTTCTGAGGCACCTCTGAGTGGACTCTAACCTCTGACCTTTTCGTTATAGCCAAGAGCCTCACCTTGCACCACCCAGAGACTCCTTTACTGGAGAAGGAGGACATTTTCTCTTCTTATCGTATATTCTGGCTTGATGTAGGGGTTCAAAGTTACGAATCCACTCATCCAAACAAACGCCTGCTTTAGGGCAAGCTTCCAGGCCCTCAAGTTCCAGAGATCAACAAGATTCAGTCCCTACCCTCAAGGTCTCACAGTGCCTTTGGCATGCTTGTCTCGGGGGAGGGAGCAACCTGCAGCTGAGCACGCTGCCTCATTTGAGGAGAGGTTTATGTATTCTTGGGAGATAGCCAGACCTGCAAGCCCTGGGATCATTAAGAAACATGGCCTTTGTTTCTGTCTCTGTTTTTCCCTTGGCCATTTTAACCATTCTTAAGTGTATAATTCAGAGGCATTAACTGCATTCACCATGTTGTGCAACCATCACTGCTATTTCCAACCCTTTTTCATCGCAAACAGAAACTCTGTATCCATTAAGCATCCCCCCCGCACCCAGCCCATGTAATAGCTAATCTACTTGTGTCTCTATGTATTTGCCTATTCTAGGTATTTCACATAAGTGAGTGTCTTAGTCATCTAGTGCTGCTATCACAGAAATACCACAAGTGGATGGCTTTAACAAACAGAAGTTTATTCTCTCATGGTTTAGGAGGCTAGAAGTCTGAATTCATGGTGCCAGCTCTGGGGGAAGGCTTTTTCTCTCTGTTGGTTCTGAGGGAAGGTCCTTGTCATCAATCTTCCCTTGGTCTAGGAGCTTCTCAGCACACGGACCCCTGTCCAAAGGATGCACTCCACTCCCAGTGCTTTTTTCTTGGTGGCATGAGGTCCCTCTCCTCTCTGCTTGCTTCTCTATTTTATATCTCAAAAGAGATTGACTCAAAATGCAACCTAATCTTGTAGATTGAGTCCCATCACATTAATATATATGCCTCTAATCCTGCCTCATTAACGTCATAGAGGTTAGGATTTATGACACATAGGATGATCATGTCAGATCACAAAATGATAGACAATCACACAATACTGGGAATCATGGCCTAGACAAGTTGACACACAGTTGGGGGGTGGGGGACACAATTCAGTCCCTAACAGTGGGATCAAACACTATGTGGACTTCTGTATCTGGCTTCTTTTACTCGGGATGATGTTTTCAAGGTTCATAAATGTTATAGCATGTATCAGAACTTTATGCATTTTTAGGGCTGAAGAATATTCCATTGCATGGATAGACCACATGTTGTGTATCCATTCCTCTGCTGATGGGTGATTTCTACCCTTTTGGCTGTTGTGAATAGTGTTGCAGTGGATGTTGGTTACAGGTCTTTGTTTGAGTCCCTGTTTTCAGTTCTTTTGGGTCTATACTTAGGAGTAGAATTGCTGCGTCATACATAATTCTGTCTAACTTTTGGAGGAACCATATTGTTTCAGTGTTAATGACCAGGGCCCTCACCATAAAGTTCTCCATCAGCATGGTGACATTTCCTAGGTTCTGACTGACCAGTGCTGTCTTTCAGGATGTGCAGTACTCTGACATAGACTACATGGATGGATACAAGGATTTCACTTATGACAATAGGACTTTCTATGGTCTCCCAGAGTTTGCCAAGGAGTTACACAGCAATGGACAGAAATATGTCATTGTTATGGTATGTTTAAATACTAATCTTTTTGCTTTGGTTTTCCCTACAGAGTGCAAAAGAACTTTACAAAAGTATTATTCATATCATATTTATTTATTAGAATCCTGGCATCGCCAACCACTCTGGCTACAAGCCCTATGATGATGGAAAAACAAAGAGGATATGGGTCTACCAGAATGATGTGTTTGCTGTTGGGAAGGTAATTTCTCAAGAAAATCAGAGTAACTTACAGTCATCTTGGGAGGTTTGAACTTTTGGTATGAAGATGGGTGGAGGCAGGCTACATGTTACTGTTTTCATGGCTTTGACATTTTCTTTTATTATTATTTTAAAACCAGTAGATGTAATAATACCGAAACCAAACCCATTGTCATCCATCTGATTGCGACTCATAGCGACCCTAGATGATAGAGTAGAACTGCCCCATAGGGTTTCCAAAGCTGTAATCTTTACTGAAGCAGACTGCCACACCTTTCTCCTGTGGAGCGGCTGGTGGTTCCAACCACCAACCTTTCAATTAGCAGCCGAGTGCTTAACCACTGAGCCACCAGGGCTCCTGAGATGTAGAAATAGAATAGTTAAAATTCTGAAGGATTTAAGAAGCTAGCCTCTGACTGTCTGATACTATAGATAATTGAGAAGCAATACATTATTAGAAGAAAATTCAGTGGTACTTAAAAGCCCTCCCACTTCCCCATTTCTATCTCTTCCCCAAGACAATAAATTCTACTGCAATTAATATGACAAGATGCTCGTAGGCTAATGTGAAACCTGTCTCAGCTGATGTATTTTTAATTTACACATGATGTATCTCTGATGTTTTAGAAGTCAGCCTTGATTCTAACCCTGGCAGTTTTCAGGCATTGGAATAGGCTGTCTCTGAGTTTATGTTGAGGACAGCTGTGTTCAGAGACCACTTTGACTCAAATCACATAAGCAGCCTTCTATTCCAATTACGTGTAGGCTCTGCCCTCAATGATTGGATGACTTGAGATGTACTAAAATGGATGCTTAATCTAAAAAGCTCATGTGACCGCAATTCTTATTGCTCCTGGAGAGTTTACTTGGGAAAGCTGTCTTTTCGGGTTTATTGATGTGCCCTTGTCTAACCCCGTTCACTTAATTCATTTAATTGACTTTCATTGTTTACAATACTCAACTCTATTTACGTTCTTTTTTTTTTTTTTTTTAGTATTTGTTGCCTTGTTTTTATTTTATTTTAATTCCTTTTTATTGTACTTTAGTATTTTTGTTCTTTTTTATTGATTCTAACTTTTCATGAAACAGTTGAGATATTTCTTCCTTCCTCCAAACAAGTGTTTGTTTTTACCGTTTTGCTTGAAGTGAATTTTTAAAATATCAGAAAGATCTGCAGTCACGTGTGTGTGCAAAATCAGAGACCACAGTCAACTAAGATTTATTTTGGTTATCTAACAAATTAGATTATGCGCACCTGTGAGTCATTTTAGTACACTCACACCTGGGTGGTTTATAACTAGGGGTTTGCATATTATGGCAAGAATTTAATTAGATGGTTACCCCCATTGACTGATAAGTCAATCTTTTGAATCTTTTGATCTTAGATGTTGGCAGAGGTAGCGGTGGTAGGGGTGGTCACTGCAGTGCATTTGGTTAGAGTGATGTTGGAGTGGTTGGGGTGTTTCAAAAACAGTTGCCACACCTTCCTCCTTGTTCTCTAGGGCTATCCCGGGTGGACAATCTTTCCTGATTTCAGTAATCCAGTGACCTCTCCCTGGTGGACAGAGCAGTTCGAGGAATTCTATAAAACTCTGGAGTTTGATGGAGTGTGGATTGTAAGTTGTCACTCCAGGATCAAAGTTCCCTTGGGAACGGATATGCCAAATTTTGAGATGAATTTTGACCCTGATCTGTAATAAAATAGTTTGCTGGACACGGTGATATTAAAAGTTCTTTTACTTAGTCCTGAGTCTGAATGCAGTAAATTAGACCCCTCAAAACCCTGGGTTCTAATTCTGCAACTACAATCAACTGGTGATTGATTGATTGATTTAAAGTTATTTGCTTTCTCATAACCTCAGCCTTTTCCTCCATAAACTCTTTCAGCTTAAAATTACTATTTCATTACATGCTGTAATTGCAATTATTTGTAGCATTCTTTAATAATTAATGCCGACAGTGAATCATTAGAGAATAATTCAGTGAGGCCCTGGTGGTTTTTAGGGGATAGCAAGTGGGGAGATTTCTGAGAAATTTGAAAGATTATAATGGCCTATTAGTAGGATTAGGCATTACTTATTTTTCATCCATTTTAAAGAAATTGATCTTAATTACATTCTCTTCTTATTCCTCACTGAGTGGAATAAAACATAGAGAAAATTATGAAATAGAAATATTACCCTATCTTAGGTTCTTTTAAACAATACTGAACCAGTAATAGAAACAAGAAAGTCTTTACACTTTATAAAACAAGAATCTGCCACTGGAATTGTATTTTTTAATTAACTGATTGAAATCAGTTTATAAAATATGCTCAATACTGTTTAGAGCTGGAAGACACCTTGCATACAATCTAATCCAGTGATTAGATTCTGGAAAAGATGAAAGAGAGGTCAAGAAAAGTGGGGGAGATTACTCAAGGTCCCAAATCCAGTTCATGGGAGACTCCAGATATTCTGGCTTCTATTTCAGCAGACATTCCTCAACAGCTGTCTGTTGATAACATTTTGTACGTTTTGTGTCTTTGAAGGAGATGGATGAAGTATCTAACCTTCTCCAAGGTTCTGATGTTGGGTGTGAATCAAACAGCTTGAACAATCCTCCTTTCACTCCTAGTAAGTTTTTGCCCGTTTGCTAATGACGTAGGCATGGGATGTGTTTGAAAACGACCTCAGTAAGACTCAGTGTGGTCAACAGCAATGTCATGTCCAGTCCAAGAGACCCCCAGAATCCTGTCCACGCCTCTACTTGAGTCTCTGTTGCATGTTTGGTCTCTGGTCCCCTTTGGGCTGCCATAACCCAAGGGCAATCAAGTGGCGAAGGTTACTCGTCTGAGCCTGGCTGCCTCTCTTGGCTGTGCTTCCTCTCTGGAGTTCCACATTCTTCCATCCTGTTCACTTCCTCCAAACCCTGTACAGCTGGTTCAGTTTGAAACTTGTAACTCTACCAGAGCACTCTATGGTGGAAACTACCTTCTGTTGAAGTAGATGTGGAATTTTATTAACTTTTTTTTTCATTAGCAAACAGTTTAAGGCATCAAGTTCCTTTTAGGTCCTTCCTATTTTATAGGTTCCATATTTCCAGGCAACACCAACTTCCCAGGCCCTAATTTTGAAAGAGTATGGGGGAAGGAGTATAGAATAGGCTAGGCTGTGGAAACAGATAAACCTCATCTCAGTGGATTAACACCATGAAAACTTATATTTTGCTCACACCCTACACTAATGAGAGATGGATGGCTGTCATCCATGTGGTGACTCAGGGATCTAGTGACTTCCATTGTCTTGGCCTCCCAGCTCAGAGTCCTTTGTTTCCAGCTTCATGGGCAAAAGGGAGAGAGGGTAGAGAGAATTTATGGGCAGCCTGCAAGTGGGGTGCATCTAATTTGCCCACATTTCTTTGGGTAGAACCCAGTCACTTGGCTTCAGCTTAATTTCAAGGGAACATAGGAAATATAATCTTTTTATATCCCAGTCTAACCAGTCTCTGCCAGTTTCTTCTGGTTTGTCCACTTCACTTGAACCCCTTGGACCAAGTTTTAACTGTTTCTTAGTCCCTTTTGGTCACCGAAGGAGTAAAGAAATTTTTTTTTTTGTGGGGGGAAAAGGGGATTATTGACCTCAGACCATTTAAATTCTTGCAGAAACCTACTGTTTACTTCCCCAATTTATTCTTTGTCCTTCTCTGCTTACTGTGTTTTCCCAATTTTTAAACTCTGGATCGGTTTGTCTTGGTTTCTCCTTAATCTTTTAATCTTCTTCTTGGCCAAAGATATTTGGTTTTGTCCAGAAAACTGTAATACTATACCTGTACTTTGTACACTCAATCCCTCTTGATTATATGTATGTAGATAAACCTTGCGTGCTTTGTTTATATTTAGTCTCAGCTCTACTTCCCACAGCTCTGAGCATGCTTCTCCATTGCCCCCACCCACTGCCATTCTTTGCGTGCTGAGGGAATGCAAGTTAACTTTAATGATCCCTCTCCATGAGGCACTCAGTGTACATGCCAGGTAGGAAGTGCCATTTATGGAAAGGATTTTACCTGGTAGAAATTAGTGCAGAAGTTACAGTAACTAGGAAGTGAATGATCTAGTGACTGTTTTATTGAAGTGGATCGATGGGGTCAATGCCTTACTGATGGGTTTTCCCCACAGGAGTTCTGGACCGTGTGCTTTTTGAGAAAACCCTTTGCATGGACACAGAGTTTTATGGTGGCCTTCACTATGACGTCCACAGCGTGTATGGCTATTCCATGGCACAAGCCACAGACTCGTAAGGACTTGGTTGTCTCTCTAATTCCAGATTGGGGGAGGTGGGAGTTGGAGGGCTTCTCTTCTCTTCCGTAACTATGTTTTTCAAATATTGGTTGGGGGGGAGTGGTTAAAGGGATATAGAAACGTTGGTCTTACAGGACCTTTAAGGGATCCTCTCATCCAGCCCCTTGGTTTCTGAGCAGAATTTTTGATGATGAGCATATGCTCAGGGATTCCATTACTTCAAGGATTAAAAAACAAAAACAAGAAAACATTGCCACTGAGTTGATCCAACTCACAGCTTCCCTATAGGACAGAGTAGAACTGCTCCATAGGGTTTCCAAGGCTGTAAATCTTTATGGAAGACTGACACTTCTTTCTCCCCTGGAGCAGCTGGTGGGTTCGAACTGCTGAACTAACCAAAAACCAAACCATGCCGTTAAGTTGGTTCTGACTCATGGCACCCTCACATGTGTCAGAGTAAAACTGTGATCCGCAGAGTTTTCAATGGCTGATTTTTCAGAAGTAGATTGCCAAGTGTTTCTTCTGAGGTACCTCTGGGTGGATTTGAACCTCCAGCCTTTCAGTTAGCAGCAGAGCGTGTTAACAATTTGCACCACCCAGGGACTCATGAAGGATGATACTAGTGGGAGATAACGTGTAAGCCATTTAGAGCTCTGACTGGAAGTCAGCCCTTGTGTGGTTCCCATTACTGAATGTGATCTGGTCTCCACCCTTGGATTGCCAGATTTAGCAAATAAAAATATAGGATACCCAGTTAAATTTGCATGGGACATACTCATACTGAGAATGATTCATTGTTTATCTGAAATTCAAATTGAACTGTCCTGTGTTTATCTGGCAACACTACATCACACTCCTCTACCTTCCCTCCTGACTGTCCTCCCCAATCTCCCTCTCAATACTTGCCTCTGCCCCACTTCACACACCAAACACACTACACACTCACACACATCACACACACACACCATACACATCACGCACTCACACACCATGCACTCACACACACACCACATACTCACACACATACCACGTATACCACACACACACCACACACTCTCACATACACCACACACACCACATGCTCTCACACACACCACGTACACACCACACATCACATATAGACTGCACACTCATGCCACACACTCACACAGCACACATAGCACACACACACTACCACACACTACCACACACTCATACATACACACACACACTGCACACACATACCACACATCACACACACACACATACACCAAACACACCACATACAGCATGCACCACACACACCACATACACCACACCACACAAACACCACACCACACACTCATGCAGCACACATACCATACACTCTCACATACACTACACACACCACACTCACACACACATCACACCACACCATACACACCACACCACACAAACACCACACCACACACTCATGCAGCACACATACCATACACTCACATACACTACACACACCACACTCACACACACACATCACACCACACCATACACACCACACCACACACTCACACCACGCACACCACACATATCACACACACACACTCACACAACCACACACACCATACACTCACACACAGGCACTCACCCCACATACATTCACACCTCACATCACATACATCACACATTCTTACATATACATTCACACACATGTATTCTCTCACATGTACTCATGCACACCATGCAAACACACACATACACTCACACATCACACACACACTACACACACACATACTTCACATACACACCTAGTCTCTCACACACAGCACACAACACACACCTACTCACACACACACACCACACACTCACACACATACTTACACACATTCTCTCACACACACCACACAAACACATGTACGTTCTCTCACACATTCTCACCCCCCACTCACCCCCACACACTCTCACACACCCATATACCACACACACTCACATGTACTCACACACACACTATCACACACACATTCTACCCATTTTGAACACATAACAAGGAGATAGATGCTCTCAGCAAAGCATTCTGTCCTTTCCACACCTTGTCACATGGATTTTTGCTCATGACTTGGAAATTGAGGAACAGCTGTCCCAATCCAGGTCCTTCCAGAAGGAAGTTGGTAAAATACAACCGTTTATGACTAAGAGAACAAGGAATTCTGGGCTAAGCTTAAGAAGATTTTAGTTTTAGATTTGTGACACAGATGAGGAAACTGAAGTATCTGAAGATGTTTGGGGGACCTTCCTGGGGCTTAGGAAAGGGTGTAATAGCCGTTCCCTGCTTGCTTCTTTATGGGTTGGTGGTTCTAGAACCCCGTGGTGGGGAGAAGGGCAAGGAGAGCTTGGGTGTGCTATGGGACAGCCCTCAGCCCTTGTCCTGCTTGACTTTGAGGTTTCATTGGACACCTTGGACGGTGCTTTAGTTTTTGGGATACCACACTACCCTGGAGCTCCTCCACTCTTTCCATCTGTCCTTTCTCAACCTCTGCATCAGAATCGTTTTCATCTACCCTTTCACTACTGATCAATCTTAGGGGTCAAACCTTGAGCTTCTTCTCTTGTCATTTATGCTATAGGCTATAATTTGGAGTCCCTGGGTGTGCAAATGGTTTGTGCTTAACTACTAACCCAAACGTTGGTGGTTCAAGCCCACACAGTATCACTGCGGGTGCAATCTGCTTCCTTAAAGATTACAAGTTTGGTTTTTGGTTTGGGTGGTGCAAATAGTTAACATGTTCACCTGCTAACCAAAAAGTTGTAGGTTTGAGTCCACCCAGAGGTGCCTCAGAAGAAAGTCTGGTGATCTACTTCTGAAAAATCAGCCATTGAAAACCCTACGGACACAGTTCTACCCTGATATACATGGGGTCATCATGAGTCAGAGTCAACTTGATGGTAACCTGTTGGTTACTATAATTTATTCTGATGATTTTAAGGTCTGTTATTCCAGCTTAGGTCTCTTCCTGCCTTTGAGACCCAAATATCCAAAACTACCTGCTGATCTTCTCCACTTGAATGTGTCGTAGTGCCTCAAACACCACTCACCCTGCTCTACTACCTGCTTGCACCTAGCCTCCACACACTGGCTGACCACTTTGGAAACTCTTACATCACCTACTTTGGTTGGCAGCAACACCATACTTATCTTCTAGACTTCCCAGTGAGAAACTTGGCATCATCTCTGAGTTCTCTCCTTCCTTCATGCCCTCACGTGCAATAAGCCACCCATACTTTTCATTCTACCTTTGAGACGTTTCTAGAACCTTCTTTTTTTTGTCCACTGACACTTCCTAAGGGAGGTCACCGTTTCCCTGATGTTAACCTTATCCCCCACTGATCTGTCCTCTTCCCTTGCTACCCAATGGTGGTTCGAGGACCTGCAGCATTAGCAGCACCTGGAAACATATCAGAAATACAGTCTCCCGGGTCTCCCCCAGAGCTAGGAATCAGCATGTGCATTTTAACAAGATCCCCAGGTGATTCAAATGCGTGTTGAAGCCCAAGAAGCGTTACTCTACACTGCTGTCGAGGCAGTGGTGATTCAGTGGTAGAATTCTCACCTTCCATGAGGAAGACCTGGGTTTGATTCTCAGCCAATGTCTGTCAGTGGAGGCTTGCGTGTTGCTGTGATGCTGAACAGGTTTCGGAGGAGATTCCAGACAAAGATAGACTAGGAAAAAAGGCCTGGCAATCTACTTCTGAAAATCAGCCAATGAAAACCCTGTGGATCACAATGGTCTGATTCACAATCCACCACAGGGATGGAGCATGACTGGGCAGCATTTCTTTCCATTGTGCTTGGGGTCACCATGAGTCAGGGGCAGCTAACAACATCAACACACTGCTGTCAATGGGATCTTTCTGAATCACAAGTCTGCTTATTTCTCTCCCTCATGTAAAGTTCTTGGTGGCTTGATATCGTCTGTACAATAAAATGCAATCACCTTAGCACAAGGGATAAGGAGCTTTATAATCCAACCCTGTCTTACTGTTTTTTCTCTCATCTTTGCCACCCCCATCCCCCACATTACACACCTTGCTCCCAGAGTCAAAATGCTATTTCCATCCTTTCTGTCTCTGCACACGCTGGCCACCCTGCGTAGGGCCTTCACTGCCCTGTCACTTCTTTCCTCCTTGTCTCTGCACGTGATGTCCACCCTGCATGGGGGCCTTCGCTGCCCTGTCACTTCCTCCCTGTCTC